GGACTCGCGCCAAGGCACTCTGATACATCTCTTCCTCCTCGGCATCCGTAATGAGATCCGTCTCCTTGTTGGCCAACCTAGCATCGGCAAGGTCTTGCATGTACGCCTCGACCTTTTGCGAGATATTCAGCGCAAAGTTCATGTTGGACGCCTTTTTGAACTTGCCCTTTCGCACAAAGTCCTCGTCCCCATTATGCTTAGGACGAGCAACCCAGCCGATCCTATTGTCTGCATAAAAGTCCTTGCGGCACCGAATCTCGTCATCCGTCAACCCGGCCCGCAGACCGTCGTCGTTGATGAAGATGTTGGCCGACCCCCCGTGCGATTCGTAATACGACATGGCCGCCTGCAGACTGCGCACAGTAGGGATAATGACCGAGTCCATGCCCTCCTTGTAGACTGGCATCTGGATGGTGACCTTGGGCGGGACAAAGCCGTCGGCGTAGGCCCGCCTCAGGCACGGCTTGTGTGCAGAAAAGTAGCGCGAGTTGGTGTTGATGCCTCCGATGGGCCCAATCATCTGGAAGATGTTGGTGAAGATGACTTGGAAGAAGAACAAGGAGACGCACATGAGCAGGGGGACGGGGAAGATAAGCGCCATCTTGATCCAGTCGTTGGCGAGGATACACTCCGTCACCAGCTTCCCGACGTATACACCGCACAGGAGGCACAGGGACAGACACATGGCGCAGCCGATGAAGAAGGCCGATGCGCGGGCGACTGGCCTCGCGACAGACTCTGGCCGCTCTATGGCGGCATTCTTCTCTGAGACGTCCTCGCTGCTGCTCAACTGCATCAGGAGACCCGGCGTGGTGATGCCAGCTGCCGGGGTCGCCGTTCCGATCGGGCTGGATATACCGGAGTCGTACAAGGTTGACGGAGCGCGGCTCGGCATGTGTAGGATATTAACGGGCAGTCTCCCTTCTCCCCAAACCTGCCAACAACGGTTAGCCCTTTCTGATGTCATGTTTTCTTTTTTATTATAGCGGCTTGACAAGTCGTACCCAAGCGAGCAGCTTTTCTTCTATGTGGGTGGCTTGAGGAACAATGTGGACAAGATCATCGTGCCAGACGAGAATCAGGCGCTCTTGTCTAAAGACGCAGGCGTACTGGAACTTCTTTACCGTGGCAGGCTGTGCAAGGGCCAATGAGTCGAGAACTTGAATCTGAGACCCGTCCTTGAACTTCAAATCAGACTGCCCAGGCAACAAGGAGGCGAGAATGCCCTGCAACATCTGCGGGCGCATGGTAATGGCCACATGGAGATTCAGCCGGATAGCCGCACCGAGGAGAATGGGGTTCAGTGTTTGTGACGCAATGTAGTTGCCGCGAGATCTTCGCAAGAGCACGCCAGAGCAGTCTTCTGGAGACCTGACGGACTCGGGGGGGATCCAGCCACTGGCTACTGCTCTATTATGTAGGTACGTCACCATCTGTCAGAATGTCAGATGGTTGATTCTCTTGCGTCAACGTAAGTTTTTCCCCTTACTGTTCTGAAACGAAAGTCATCGTGGTGGTTGGCGTTGTAAGGGGAGTCTTGCCCTGATCTCTGCGGCGAAGAGTCAATCGAACTCGCAGAGATTGTACAAAACGATCTGTTTCGCGCCATTGATGGCTCGATACCATGAGCCGACATACTTGGAGAAGCATCCATATTTTCCGTTGAGCTGGGGGTTTTTTTTTTCGGCAATTCGTGAGGGTGAAAAGCTATGACACAGCAAAATGGCCGAAATTGGTGCAAGACTCTGGACTCTCAGCCTGCTTCAGAGGTGTCCCTCTCTAGGAGATGCCCAGCATATATTTTGGAAAGTTTCAATCTGAATCTGTATTAACAAGCATTTCCAGGAGGGTAATTTGGGTCTTGGACGCTTCTGTATGTTTCTGGATGCGTATCTGGCAACAGATAGATGGCACGGTCTACGGCATCCACCGGTCGGCATTAATACAATGAAATACAGGAAGAAAGCTGCCAGGGTCTCCACGGAACGGTAGATCCGTCCAGCGCTCACCGAGAGAAGGAAAAAATCTTTTTTAAAAAAAAACCACAACTGACAGCATCTTGTCGTAATATCACGTTGCTGACCTATGCCGCCTGGTCAGGCTGCGGGCATCCCAACTTGGAAACATCACAACCAGCTTCATCTAGGAAGATTGAAGTGGACACCCTCGACAGGCCCCAGCGCCACCATGACCCCGGGGCGGACGGGGTCTCGACTAGCCTCTGACGAGCAGGCATCTCTGGCCGGACCAAAGATGCAGCTGCGGCTTCTTGGCTTGGCGGCGTGGTCATGACCAAGTCCCTGGATAGCCTCTGCAACTGCTACGAACCAACAAAATCGCCAGACACCTGGATAACACATGCCGGCATGTCAGGCCCAATACACCACAGCTGCGGCGCCCTTTATGCGCAATCTGGGCGGGACGCGGGCAGGTGTTGGTGCCGCGGCGTGGGCATTTCCAACAGCCCCCAAGGCAACGCAATATCTGCGACTCAGCCCATCGCACAAAACCCTTGGCAAAACGGTCACGGCTGACTAGCGACTGCAATTCCATTCCATCCCCTCGACCGTTTCCCACCGGCGGTCAAATCTCCCCTCGGTCGGTTCATCAACCCGAAGCTGTCTAGGCCGTCAGCCTTTGTTGTTTGGCAAAACTCTCGGCCGCCGCTCAACTTGCTGTGTGGCGAGCTCAACTCGGCTGACAACACATCGGAGCTGTTCCCCCAAAATGCGACTCTGCCCGCAAGGATACCATCTGTAATAATTGTCCGCCACCACAAGACGGTAAGATAATGAGGGTTGTTGTTGGCTGCCGCTGAGGGCAATACGAGGACCAGGGGGAACGCATCGAGGTTACATCTCCGACGGCAATGTTTTCCCATCCAAACCCAACCACCCCGAAGCTCGTTCCCGTGGACTTTGTTTGGCAACGCACATCCATCATCAGTTGTCTCGATCCAGAATGTCTGCCTCGTCTCATCACAGAGTTGCTCGTTCCGCACCACGGCAGTCAACCCAGCGGCTCGGCTTTTCAAAAGGCTTAAGGTTCGGCCGCATATCGACCCGCAGTTTGGACAAAGATCGTTTTGGGGGATGAACCTGACGACCGTTTCAATTTTTTCAGCCTAGAGCCAATACTGAGCACTCCTGATCTACACGTGTCGGATGTTCCGTGTCCATGATAAGGGAGATGACGGCCTTTACCACCGGAGCCTCCTCCGCTTTTTGGTGCCATGACATTGCGTATAGCGATGGAGGAAGTCAGCAGAGACTCTGGATGAACATATCTGTGACCAATTGGCGCTGCACGAGGGCCTAGGGTGCCTCTACGGCTCAAGGAGCCGGCAAGAAGTAATGCATGCTGCTGGAAATCGCCATGTCATCCGTTATCAAGCATCTCGATATCTGACAGACTGGATGCAGCTGGTTTTCGTACCGCCAGGCCCATGGTTATTCAGCTCCGTCTAGGACATCTTACGCGCATTTCAGCCTTCAAAACGTACTTGTCTTGGCTTCGGACGGTGGCTCCTATGTTCTCCTACATGTCTCATATAAAGCCTCAGAAAGGTTCTCTGCAATCACATCTCCCATGCTAGTCACCGCGAGCCAGTCTAAGTCTATCGAGACTGGGCGGTTCAAATTGCCAAGACCAGGTGCTGAGATCGATATGATATATTACGCCATCTCTTCCATCCTGTCAATTGCTACACATGGCTAGTCTACCGCCCCTGTGTCTCTAAACCAGGGGGGACGCCACGATATGCAGGCCAGTACCAGAAACATGGGGCATCGCCACCCCTGCCCAGCTGTCAGAGCCGACAGTATTCGGAAGGTGTATATCTTGACTTATCAGCCTGATAGCATTAGGCCCAAGGTTTTGAAAACCCTCCCATACGACTATCTGGACCGGGCAATACAACACCCCGTCGTGGAAAACCGGCTTAAGCCGTCATCTAGAGTGGCATCCTCATTGTCATGACACTACAGCAAACCGGATTTGCGGAACCATCACGTCGGCATGTCCGTCTCAACGAAGCCGTTCATGAAACTCAAGAATCTGGCATTGCAAACAGTCACAGAGGGCCATTGTTCTCGCCCTCCATTTTTCAAAACCAGGGCGTCCCGCTTCCTCGCATGGATTGCAGCTGATAACGCCCTTCTGCCGCTCACCTACTGCATACAGATAATGGCGTGCGGGCTCCTAAGAATAGACCAGCCGGGTTGTATCTCTACAGGTTGCTGCTGATATTTCTCGACCACGGTCGGAATGAATGCCTGGTCATGCTTCGGGGGACACTGCATGCGCACAGTCGGCATGGTCAGCCCAACGCTGCGCTCGCTGCATACGCGAACCTGCAGGCTGGCATCTCGCGCTGCCCACCGCAGACAGCCTTGCCGTCTGTAATGCCGCTCGGAGAGGATCCGTCTTCACCGCGCCTCGACTCATCACCACATGGCACGTTGAAATGGAGTCGATCGCGCGGCCCGCCCGCTCCAAGTGTGTTCGCGGATCATCGAATTACCAGCCTTCTCGCGCCAGTTGCTTACGCTCGTCGTCCAAGTTAACTTGATGCGGATGACGCCACTCCTGTTTTCAATCGATCCAAGCAGGGGGGTCGGTGCCAATGGGAGAGCTGAGCGCAACCAACGCTGGGCAGGGACTTGGGCCAGAAAACTACATATGTATGTAGTTGGATGAGAAAGCGCAGCTCTTCATCCCATGTCATGCTGTGCGACGCCGGCAACAAACTTCTTGTCAAGTATCGTCAAGATGGACAGTTGAGAGTTGCCGTGGAGGCTTTTTTTTTTTTTGGCTTGGGCCCAGCTTGACATTTCTGTCTGGTTCTGATGATACACGTAGAACCTCTCATCTAATACCTGCCCTCGTCGTTGGTAAAAGTCGTCTTTCAGCCCAAGGGTAAATATTGTCCTGGAGCTGCTCGGCTCTACCGCACTTCTCGCCAGCAGGCCTTTCACCACTGGACATCGAGCATCGTCAAGATGAGCAACGTGGACAACATGTCTGAAACGCCACCAGACGAGGGACCGTCCGCGGCACCCCGCAGGGCAGTCAAGGTTGTCATCAACAGTGACTTCGCAGCAACCTCGTCGGCACTCGACGTCCCAGCCAGACCATCCTCCGTGATTCCCCGCGACTTCTCATCGCTGGACATTGCGTCCAGGCGAAGATTCAAGAGCTACCGTCTGCGCGGCGAGTTCGAGAAGCCATGGCTCGCAGATCCGGCCATGAACAAGACAAAATGGAACAACTGGATCGTGAGAGGCTTCATCCTCCTCGGCCTCATCCTCGCCGGCGTAGCGTGCGTCTTCTTAGTCTGGCCGTACAAAGACGGGCCTGTAAGTTGTGTCTCCTCTGTCCATCTCACGAAAGCACCCGGTAACAAAAGGCTTCCTTCCCAGTATTGCCTCGTCTACGAAGACCACTTCACCTCCCTGAACAAGGATATCTGGTCGCACGAGGTGCAGCTCGACGGCTTCGGCACAGGCAGCTTCGACTGGACCACCAGCGACGCAAAGAACTCGTACGTCGACGCCGAAGGCCTGCACATTGTTCCCACCCTCACCAACGAGTCCACGCCCATCACCAACAACGACCTCTTCGCCAACTACACCCTGGACCTGACCAAGGACGGCAGCTGCACCAGCACCGCCAACACCTCCTGCATCACCACCTCGGACCCCAAAAAGGGCGCCATGATCCCCCCCATCCGCTCCGCCCGCCTCTCGACAAAGGGCAAGAAGAGCATCCGCTACGGCAGAGTGGAAGTTGTCGCCAAACTCCCCAGGGGCGACTGGATCTGGCCCGCCATCTGTAAATCCTCCTCCCCTTGCCCCCCAAAAAGTCCATCTAACAAGCCTCCAAGGGATGATGCCCGAGGCCTCCACCTACGGCGAATGGCCTCGCAGCGGCGAGATCGACATCATGGAATCGAGAGGCAACTCGCGCGCCTACACCGAAGGCGGCCGCAACTACTACTACGGCACCCTCCACTGGGGTAAGCGACGGTTCCTCGCCACTCCTCCAAATCCCACAAGCTAAACATCCGTCCAACAAGGTCCCACGGCCGAAAAGGACAGCTACTGGCGCACCACCAACGCAAAGATGCTCCGCCGCGGCGACTTCTCGCGCGGCTTCCACACGTTCGGCGTCCAGTGGACCCCCGGCTACATCTACTTCTACGTCGACAGCCGCGCCCACCAAATCCTGTTTGTCGGCTTCGACCGCGCCCGCCCGCTCTACGACCTCGGCCGCTTCGCCAGCATGGCCGAGAACCAGACGCTGCTGGCGAACCCGTGAGCCATGTCCAACTCCACCACTGGCAACGCCCCCTTCGACCAGAGCTTCTATCTGATCCTCAGCGTGGCCGTCGGCTCCAAGAACGGCTGGTTCCTGTATGTCCTTCCCCCCCCCCCCCCCACGTTGGCGACAAGCCCTGGATCGACGGTGCCAAAAACGCCCAGTGGACCTTTTGGGATGCCGCCGCCAAGTGGCTGCCGACCTGGGGCGAGGGCACCGAGCGCGGCATGACGGTGAGATCCGTCAAGATGTGGCAGGCCGGGCAGTGTGGCTCGCCGAGCGAGCTTTAGGAACGGACACGGAGCGAGGCCGCTCATAACCATGTGCGAGACCAACGTATTCGGGCGTCGGGTTGGTTGACCAAACTGGTTTACATTGTATTCTCTGGAAATGGCATTCAGGCATCCTTGCTTGACAAGGCTCCAAACACAAAAAGTTAGATCCTGTTGTGGTGAGACTAATAAATAATGAATGTCTTTGACTACAAGCGCGTGGTAAGCACGGACAAGGCAACACACATCATGCCATGCATCCATATAGCTATGCTGTGCCCGCATCTTGAAGCTTGACAAAACAACAAACACAGGTTCAAAACACAATGACGAAAAACTCATTGCTGCCGCCCCCTCCTGTATATCTATAACGTCTACCCGAATAGAGCAAAACTGCGGCCGCCATGGCTACCATTTGGTCTGGCTCAAGTACGGCCCCCGACAAAATAACCTTCCATAATCCAATAACAATATTCTCAATGTTTCCAATACAAGTAGGGGTATAATCATCTCATGCCTTCTTCACCTCTTTCCCTGCACGCCGTTCTCGGCCGCCTTTCGAAACAACCTCTTCGTGCCGCCAACTCTACCCAAATCACCAAATCTATTCCTCTCTTCGGGTGGGGGAATCCTCCTCTCAACACTAACTTGACGAACCTTCTCCTTAACACTCTCCACCCAAGCTTTGTTCTCTTCACTCATTTCAACCTTCTTGCCTGTTGGCCCGGCAAGACCAAGGAATGAGCTATCATCTTCAAGCCAGCTGAGACGAGACCCGGGTCTGGAGCGAGTTGATTCTGATGATGACGGCGTATCAGCAGGCTGGGTGGCTATGGCGGGTGTCTTGGGTAGCAATCTTGGCAGCTCGCTGTTAGCGGCACCAATGCTTCTCCTTGTTTTGCGAATATTGAGCGGTGTAACGGGGGAATGCTCAGATAAAACCGCAGCAGCCGAGGCTGGGCGGTCTGGTGTGCTCGATCCCATCCCCATCGCGGATGGTGTAGAACCGCGCGGGACATCTTGAACTTCAATCCTGGCAGCCTTTTCTTTTCCGGCCGAGCGACGCCCATGATGGCTCGCGTACTCCTTCAAGTACTCACTCAAGTCGGCCCACCCGCCACCAACTCGGACCATGACACGTTCACCATGCTCGCCAACACATCGAATGAAGAGCTTGATAGGTGGTTCGCCGTTCGACCGGGATAAATGATAGACCTTAATTTCCTGTTGGCCCCTTGTGGGACGCGGTCGTGTGCTTCTTGCCGGCGACAGGGTGAAAGAGGGTGTCGTAGTGCGAGACGACAGGCCTGATGTGCTCCTTTTGAACATCTCCTTGGATGATTTCTTCTTAATCCTAGGTAACTGTAAGTCCGGGGGGTTCAGGTTGACGGCAGGCGTCTCGGCTGATAACTTGATCTTGGCCGGTATTGACTCAATAATATCACTAATCTGTTGGCGCAGCTGCTTGTCCCCAGTGCTGTCTCGTCGATACGTGGGCCCAGCTGCTTCGGATACTGACATAGAATCATCGAAATCAAAGACGAATGAGCCTTCAACAAGCGTCTTGCCATACATAGAGCTGTCATCTTCGGGCACTGACGTAATGATAGGGCTGTCGAGTAATCCATTTGGGGGTGAAGAGTCCCTCGTGTCGTCCAGAGGAAGTGGTGGCGAGCTGGGAGGGCTGTCATCAACAAATTGGGCCTCGCGGATCCGATCTCGAGGCACTGGGGGAGAAGCTGATACTTCAGGCAAATCACTGGTCAGATCGAATCGGCTTGTGTCTCCATCTCCATGCATCATCACAAAGCTTTCGAGGGATCTGCTATGATGTGTAATACTTTTGTGAAGCCGCGGTAGGTCTGCTTCAGATCCTCCTTCCTCCTCTTCGTCCACCGGCGACATAGTCCTGGTAATATGTGACATGTCGTGCTCTATTAGCGAGTCATTGTCACCAACAAATATTGATTGGTTAGCCTCGGCGGAAGATTCTGCCGTAAGTTCGGAATCAAAGGATCCTTCATCAGATGGAGTTCTCGGGCCGTTATCTTCAATGTACTGTGGTTCTCTGGCATCATGGCTAGATAGGCCACCACTAGCCGACGTCTGGGGTACAACACCATCCTTGACACCTGATGAAACAGGAATGACTGATGTACTACTATGCTTCGGAGAAACCGGTAACATGATTGCGACCCCAGAGTCATCTGTGGGCAGGTCGCTAGACTCAGATAATGTGCAGTCAATGATCTCCTTAGCAGCTTGTGCTAAAGGCGACTTTGGAGATTTTTGTCTTTCTGCAGACCTAGACCACTCTGTTTCGCAGATCTTTCTCTCGCAAGCAGCCACCCACTCACTGTAGCTGCGCTCAACGGTTTCCATACGATCCAACCAGCTGTCTGGAATTGTGTCGTCCATTCCTTCCAAAGTATCAAGCATGTAATCCAATGCTCTGCCAGGAGTTGCGACCTTCTTGATAAGAACTTTGTTCATGACCTCAAAGTCACTACGATTCAGTTTCGGTTTCTCGACAACAGCCCCTCTGCCATCAACCTGAATGGACCTTCTAAGTGGCTTAGAAATAGCAGTCCAGCCAGCCTTGACCCCAGCCTCGGCGTCCTCGAGGGCGTAAAGCAAGGGCGGAACACGTTGCAGAACAGCTAGACGGCTGCTCCAGATTCGCAGCAATTGGTTGAGTCTGGAGATCTTTGGTAGTGTCTGGACGACAATTGTGGTGACAACTGCAGAGAGGTCCTCCATCTTGGTATAAGTAGAGGTAAGAGGTATTCCCTTGCTTGATATTGACAGTGGTGTATTCGGTCTCGAAAGGGGTAGGATGTGGTTCGTCAGGACTTGGCTCTTGATCTCTTCCAGTGCCAAGCTATCCATATCTCGATGTATCTCTTCAATTCTTCGCTCGTACAAAGCCACCTCTCGAGCGTGTAGGCTGCCAACATACTCGCTTCCATCAATCTTTGGCACGTTGGCTTGGAATGACAGTCTTGGCAGTATGTTGTTGGGTGTCAAAAACCCAGTTGAGGCGCTCTCGAGAGGCCACGCCCAGCCGGAAAGCTCGTCAATCCACTCCCATATTCTTTGTGAAGCGATCGCTGCTCGCATAGCAAAGTCTCGCTCGGTAGCAGACGCGCCATCCAGGCAGCCTCGCAAGGCCCCGTTGCCTGAAGTCAAGGCCTCGACGGCTGTGGTTGGGCTCAAATGGGAGAAGATGTCATCTCCCGCGCGAGATCGGGCGGGTGACTGCGCGACGAGGGAGAGCCTCTTAGGCTTCAGGAGGAACGGCGGGTCGGTCATTGTGTCTTGTCGAGGATGTCGTCGATGGCAGCGATGGTTGGATGACTTTTGCAAATCAGCATCGAGGCAATGGTAGCATGATCAGTTCATAACCCTGGGGAGATGGGAATGTTGATGCGAACTGAAGTATCGATGCACATAGTCGAGTGCTCTTTGAGGACGTCTGCCTGGACGTGGTCTCGTTACGTTTGCAGGAAACAAGCAGTCGGAGCACAGAAGAGAATGTGAGACACCTCCCGTACAACGGCTCCAACGCAAGGCAATACAAGACAAAAAAGGGCAATGCTGAACAGGAATGCCAGTCGAACCCCGACAGGTGACGGCCACCTGCTTAGCCCCGAAGGTTGACGGGAGGCGCGTGCGTGCAGGGCGATCGGGCCGCTGCGCTGCCAGGCTCAAGTCTTTTGTTGTCGTCTGATGATTCAGCTGTGAGGTTAGCTTTGGGCTTCGGATGAGGCGCCGCCAAGTGGCCAGACGCGTCTTGTGGGGGGTGGATGGATAATGATTGGGCGGTGCCTTGGATTTGCTCGTCGACTTGCTCCTTCGGTCCAGTCTGGTTGGAGGAGATGGGACAAAGGAGGTAATAGGCCAGTGGGCTAAACTGGTAGAAAAAGAGACAGAATAGGACAATGAACGAAAGCGGCCAAGGGAGAGCGAAAAAAGAGGGTGGGTGGTGTGCTACCAGGGAACGGATTTTGTTGGCAATTGAGTGAATGTGAGCCGAGTCGAAGCGGAGATATCGAAGCACAAGTCGAAAGGGAGAAGCAGAAGCAGGAACAGAGAAGATACGTTGAGCGAATGTGAATTGCAAATGACGAAAGGAAGGAGCGAAGGGTTGAGGACGTCAGGAGACGAGAAGACGAGAAGGAAAGAGACCAGTTGGCGGAAATGAAAAATGCCACCTGCACCCGCGCTTTCCTCCGTAGATTGCACTCGTGCCGTGCCATACATGTACGCACCGGTCAACGATTCGATTATGAGGCCTCAGTCCTTCTGTCCCTTTTCTTTCATCCGCCCGCAACCACACCCGTGCTTCAATGCAAGTGATTCGACGCTATCGATCCGGGTCCTCCTGCTGTCCGACCAACCGTCCAAGAGCTACCTAGCGTCGTCGTTTTTTTGATTGTGCTGCCTGCTTGATGTCTTCAATCTGGAGTAACTTGGCTCAGGGGTTTCAACACGCCATCTCGGCTATCAGGGGTTCGCAGGCGGGTCGCGGAGACGCACACGCACAATTAGGGTGAGTTTGGCAGGCAAAATACGCAATTCTCCATGCATGGAAGATTGACGTGCAGGATGCAGGGAAAAACCAAGAAGGACGTTTGGCAAAATCAACAGTGACGAGATTGAAGCGTCGCTGCCGTTTTCAAACCCCTCCCAGCCCCGTTTGTTTCACGCCGCACATCAAGGAGCACTTCGTGGAATCGTCTTAAGACATAACACATCTTTCGTGGGCCACATTTTAAAGTACGTACTCCGGAGGCGCCCCGCCTTTGCCGCATTCCTGTAAGCCCTCCAGCAGCAGGCGAACGAAGCTGTGTGACACTGAGAACCCACGTACGACATGGATGATGCCTCTACGGAGTCCGCAACGACGTTGATAGCCGTTAACCTGCATAAACCCGGAGAGATGCTCAAACACAGTGGAGCAGATTGTCACAAGGAGACTTTATGCAATGAAGTGGAAACCTGTCTTGGGAACCTGGTCAACTCAACCACGCTCGGGACATGATAGAGAAGCTTGGGACACATACCGCACCATCATCATAGAGCTATTAAATGACTGCTAACTAATGATCAGTCGACTTGTGGCAGAACAAAAATGTGAGCGATTACGGGTACTACCAACAGTTCTACTATAACAAACGAGAAATGAACATGGCACTGTGAGGTTTAAATATGTGCTCGAATGTTCTAAACACGTTTTTTACCAGATTAGACATGATATCAAGGAGTATCAACATAACAGACCACACCGACTACTAAACAAGGAGTAAGTCATTTGTTGGTAGTACACAAGGCCTGCGACATATTTGTGATACCTACCCAGGCATGTACAGGGTAGCTGGCGTACAATCCAAAAGATCAACATCAGCAAAACATACATACAAACGTATTATCCCAACCATGTGAAGACACCTGCCTTTCGAATCGACAAAGGCACACCCATACGACGATAATCTACACATCAGGATCAAGCACGCCAAGGTTGCCGCCGTATACCAGCTCTTACGCCACAGCTGCACAAGGGAAGACTACCCATGGTAGCAACTACTCCAGACAGTGACAAATCATGGAGCTACACAACGTCACAGGCAGACACAAGAGAGAGTGATTGCATCAAGAGTCATTTCTCATTCCTTTTGACCGATAGTACACTTAGCGCCGTGAATGCATCCATGCATGACCAAAACAAGCGGACCGTCCCAAAATAATGATGGAAAAAATTACAAAACACTAGCCTCCAGCTGCACGGCCTCGACGCCCATGTTCGTGTCCCCTTCATTGTCCAACGCCGATAGATCTAGCGTCTCCTCCATCAACTTTGCCGTGTTGGCATTGTCAAACAATCCCGCGGCCAGGTCGTCGCCCCCGATGGCGCTGGGATTGGGATTGGGGTTGGAGCCGGCGTCGGGGAACTGCAGCCACTGGTCGACATCAAAGTCGGTGCCGGCGACGGCGTTCCAGTCGAATTCGTCGTGGCCCTGCATGAAGTCGAGGTCCATCGTGTCGAGGTCGACGAGCTGCGTCTCCGACTGGCCGCTTGCGCTGGGCGTGAGCTGCGCCGAGTCAAAGTCCGTCTGGGGCGGGGAGTTGGTTGAGAGCTCGAGGGCCGCGACGTTGATGGTGGCCGGCGGCGGCATAGGCATGGTCCTGAGGGGCGGCCTGGGCTTCTCGGTGAAGAGGGACTCCGAGGCCGTCATGTACGGCAGGTTGTCCGGGGGCGGCGTGGTCTGAGCGTTGAACTCGGCGGGCAGGTCCGCCTTCATGGCAGAGAGGGTCTGGTGGCCGACGTTGGTGTTGATGTCGATGGCGGCCTTGCGGAGGGCGGCGTCGAGGAAGCCCGTTGCGTAGTCGGCGGCGGCGTAGATCTCGCGCAGCTTCTCCATGACGCGCATGCACTGGCGGAAGCCTCGGGTGGCGCGGTCCCGGGCCTGCGAGGAGGGCGATTTCATCTCGAGGAGGTGGATGATCATGGCGGGGAGGATGACGGTGACGCCCGTCGTGGGTAGGAACTTCTCCAGACGGAGGTGCTGCAGCTCGGTGGCCATGCGGGTGATTTGGGAGGCGGCGTCGCGGACGCGCAGACGGGACATTTCCTGGACCTGGCGAGATGTAGTGGGCGCTTGGGTCGGCGACGAGGGCAGGAATTGGGGACGGTGGAGGGCCGAGATGGTGGTGTGGTAGACCATGTGAAGCAGCGTTCGTTGGACGGCAATGGTCGACCTGCCGTCCCTGACGTCGAGGGGGTTTAGGGGTCGGTACTGGCAGACATCCGGGAGGGAAGCAGCCCAGGCGCTGAGTTCGAGGTCGACGGTGTTGACGCTGTCCACGTTGTCCATCTGCTTGTTGGGGAACAGCATCATGGTGCTGTTTGTCGTGTTCTCGGGCTTCATCTTGTCACGGATGAGCACCGAGTACTGCGTCTTGAGCATGTGGCTGATGCAGAGACACAGCTTCGCCTTGGAGATGCACATGGCGGCCAGTTCGCGCTGCATACTGACGTCTCGCACGAGCGTGCATTCGGGGGGGACAACACTGACGCCCTCGGCGAGGGGCTGGATATCGAAATCGCTCTCCACGAGCATGGGGACGTCAAAGTCCTCGTCCTTGATGCGGGTCGGACGGCGCATGCCGAGGGCAATGAGACGATCTCGCATGAAGCACGACCACCATATGCGTTTCCACAGACGCTGCTTGGACGTGGACATGGACGTTGACCCAGGGTTGCGGTGCAGGCCGATGGTGTGGGCGAGGGAAATGGCAACGCCCATCCAGTGCCAGGTGTCTTTTTGGTCGTCGGGGGTCTCGTACCAGTAGGTCATTTGCATGAGAGACTGGACGAGCACGAGGCGGTCTTGTTCATAGTCAAAGTCATACAGGAGCTAGGCCATGTCGGTCAGCACATGAAATACCCGCCATGTCACGGCGCTGTTTTTCAAGGGGGAGAATTCACGAAGGAAAAAAAAAACATACCCTCGTCTTCTGGAAAAACGCCTTTCTAGCAGCCTTTCTTGACGAAAAGCCAGCCTCCCTCAAATGCTTCATATCCACAAAGGCCGTCGCCGAAAACATAATACTCTGGTAGAGCAACAAGCTCGTCTGGCCGTTGACGCCATCCCTGCGATCGACAATGCTCAAGAAGTGGTGCAAGTCGATCAGCGGCATGTACGGATAGACGTACTCGATGTAGCATTGCAGCAGCGCATTCTGCAGCGAAATGTTGGGCAGCGTCAGGGCGCCCTTGAGTGCGAGATACTGCACATCCTCGGGGGCGATCTTGGCAGGCAGCGGCCTCACAAACGCGGGAAGCTGGGATCCGGCATCGGGGAGTTCGAGCGAGTTGAGGAACTGCGCCGTGCGGCCGTTTCCATAGGAGGAAGTCTAGACTCGTTTGTCAGTAACGGCATGGGAGGGGGCGTGGACCAAACAAAAGGCCGTACCTGGCTGACGATGCTGTCATGGCGATATCCGGATCGTTGATCTGTCGAGTTGAGCACGGTCAGCTTACTGGGCGATGGCTTGGCTGAATGCGCCTAGGGGGTTTGGCCGTCATAATTTCACACATGGCTCGTCTTTCAAGTGTGCCCCCAACCTCCTTTTTTTTTTCCTGCGCAACGCCACGAGCAAAAAAAGAAAAGTAGATTTTGTCCAAGCCAATTCACATGTGAAAAGGGCAGACGCTGGGCAAGAAACTCGTCATGTTGATCATGTGGGGCAGAGGCACGAGGGGCAATTTGGGGAATGTGGGGCGATTGAGTTTGAATGCGGAGAGTCGGCGCGGAAGAGGCATCCGCAGCCCGTTTTTTTGTGCAAACGAGGCCCGTGGTGACCATCGCGAGCGAGGTGAGTGGAGGTGAGGGAGACCAGTCCACACCGAACGGGTGGTCAAGGATGAAAGGGGAACTCTCCCCGTGCGCCAGCAGGGCATTCCCAAGAGGAACACACACAAACACACACACAAAAAAAAGGGGGGGGGAGGAGGGGCTTTTGCGTCAAAACTTACAGAGCATATGCGGCACGTGGCCGTCACCGTTCTTGGGCAACAAGGGCGTCGCTCCGTCGGGGCTGTTTGACGAAAAGGCAGACACGCTGCCGGTCCGGTGTAGGTGCGAAATGTCAGGGTTGCTCAGGGACAGCGGCGGCGTGGCCAGGGACGTCGAGCCCGGGGCGGCGGTGGCTTTGGCGCGCAGCTGTGCCTCGGCTGCGCCCGGTCCCACGGCGCTGGGGGTGACGAGGTTCTTTCTGCAAAAGTTGAAATGCGCGTCAGCTTGAAAAGAAGGAATCAATTGGGCATGTTGGGACGTCGAGGAGGAATTCCGCCTGCCAGCGGGCCAGACCACTCGCTCGTACGGAGTAGTAGTAACCGCTTCACACAAGTCTGGTACCAGGCGGCATGTACAGCCACCGAAGCGCAGGCTAGTGGCACTGAGGCCCCCCCGGTAAAAGCGGATGGGGCGGGTACGTGGCCACATTGGCAAGAAAGCAGGCAGGACGGGCGAACGGGGCATTTCCGGGGGCGCCGGAGCGGGCAGTCGGATCAAAATGCAGCTTGGGGCGGGACTCTTCCCATCTCGACTTACTTTCGCCGACGGCTCTCCTGCACGATGCACTGCGACGAGGTTAGCTTGCCAAGCGTCCAGAAACGAAAAAAAAATTAAGAATTAGGAATAAAATCAAGGTAAAAACGGCAGCGTGTGCAGCCGTCCAAAAGAAGAAGTCAGAGTCGGGCTCGCTCACCTCGACATTGTCCCAGCGGCAATTGCCACAGGGCGCTCCCTCGACCACGTCGCAGCGCACCTTGCGCGCTCGACACGACACGCAAGCCCGGGCGGCCCTGCGCTTGGTGACCTTTTGAGGGCCGCTGGACTCGTCGCCCGCCGAGGCTCTCTTTTTGCTGTTGCTCTTGTCGCCCGAGTCTGAGTGCGACGAGGCCGGCGAGGCGCCGTGGACGGATTCCGCCATTGTTGTCGCTCGCGCCCTCCTGTCTGTCGATGGTGATTTTCCAAAGATGTATTCGATGCAGCCAATTTATCGGCCGCGATTCAATACATGTAGCGTCCCCAAAAAAAAAGGGGGAGGGGGGAGTATTCCTTGCAGGTCGATAGGCCGTTGGAATTCGAGACCCGTGACGCCTCGAGGTGCTAGATGAGTCCTTCAGTTGGCGCTATTCTGCTCCGGGGGTGCTGCTCGCCGTAGCTTCTCATCGAGTCTCGAAACGAATTGGCAAAACGGGCGTGGCGGTGAATTGCCAGATGGCCAATTTTCGGTGCTGGAACGGTTGCTAGTGCAAAAGTGTAAAGGTGCTCCGTATAAACGGCCTCGAGTCGACACGATTTGACAAGACAAAAATTCCAAGAGCGGATATGGTCCAAGAGATGAAGGAAGGATGATGCCAAAGGAGAGCAAGAGAAATACAAAAAAATAAAAATAAAAAGGGATAAAAAGTCTCCTTTCTTACGAGGCCGGCAGAATAAATCCGGGGGTGGGTTTCATGACTCCGGGGGGCGTGGAATGCTATTATATCTGACGAGCTCGAGTCCTGCGTCTTGACGTGGGATTGCGCCTCGTTCTCCAGTCCCGGAGGCCCGCACGCCTGGACGAGGTGCGAGGCCGGAGTGGAGGTGGCATCAAGGTGGGATGTGGGGATGCGTGGGGATCCGACGTGAAATGGCACCGTGACATGGCTCCCTTCACCTTGATCGGTATTGGCTGCCCTTTTTTTTTTTTTTTTTTTTTAGTGCCTGGGCGACTTGATTTTATTTTTCGTCCTGGCCTCTGGTGCCCGAAGCCTCCGTGCTCTTTGTTGAGCTGCGATGGATGACGGGACGACTCTCTGGAGAGTGGGCGTCATCGCTGCCTCTCGTCTCGTCCGTCTCGTCTCTAGATGCTGTCGATCTGGTCAATGGTATTTCAATGTTGACAGGCGTGCTGCTGCTACCAAAAAACTAGCGGCTACCAATTGGTCATCATGGCGGCTGCTCCACCAGACGAGGCCCTCCAACATCCGGTGGAAGTGGCGCTCCCATCCGAGTGCATGGATCGCCGCTTCTTTTCACGGTGAGCTGCAGTCGAGAGGCGCTCGTCAAGGGGCGCAAGGTTTCCGCGTCCCGTCTTCACCGTGGCCATGGATGGCATGGCGGAACGTGTACGCTCACTGCGCCGTCGCCGTGGTCCGTGGACCGTGATGGCCGCCTCGACCTGTCCGTCTTGTGCAAGCATGTAGCTACATACACGTGCGCTCGTCAACCTGCGTTTGGAGACTGGATTCTCCATGACCGTATCGAATCGATGACACCTGCCGAGCCCGCAAGCCAATGCATCCAGCTCCAACTCCCGCCCGCCAGTTGACCGTCCAGCTCCAACGAAACACTAGCCTAGCGCATGGTGTGAAATTCTCCAGTCGCAGTTGGACCAGTCGCTGTGCTGCAGATCCACGTCCGGAACTTGCCTTGAACTCTGTTCAATGTTTAGCTCGCAAGCGCCTCTCGTACCCCATGTTTTATCCCTTTCCAGGGGCCTGTCGCGACTCCAGCAAGCCATCACTGACGTGGTGCGTTTGCATACATGGCACATGGGCAGAAAATGCAAAATAATTGACATCAATTAGAAAAAAAACTGAGTGCAACATGGCCCGCAGGAAGCACCAGTTGGCCTTCTTTTGCAGCCCCGTCCGCTGTCGTAAATGCCCATGCCCAAAAGGCCTGGCTGCAGGCCGTTTTCCCAACTCGTACCCCTGCCGTGGTCTGTCACGGGAGACTGCAGACTTTTGCGTCTTTTCCTGTCTTGGCTTTTTTTGGTTCTTTCTTCAACAGGGCGTGGCGGGCGGCAGGGGCCAAGCTGCTGCGCTCACTCACATGCATGCACATGCATTAAGTGTGTTCAAGTGTTGCCAGGCGCCATTGGTGGACCAACTCTGCGGCCTGCACATGAAATACAATTTGATGGTCAAATGTCAAGTTGTAAAGCTTTCCAGTCCAGACACAAATTGTCATTGAACCAAGTCTCTTGTCTGCGAGCGCCACGCCCCCTCCCCCGATGCTTGGCATGCCCTCATCAATTCGATGCTGCTGCTGCTAGTAGTAGTTTCAATGTAATCGATGCGGCTACTAGTAGTTTCAACGTAATGAATGGTTACGCTTCGCTCAGACGGGCCAACTGGACCGCCTCAAATCAATCTGGGGTAGGGGAGGCGTTGACGCGTCGTCGGCTTGGCTCTGCCAATGGCCCTTGAACTACACTGCCCAAGATGAGTCAACGAAAGCTGCAGTCGCTCATCACCAGGAGCACCTACACCTGCGTATTTGCATTAACCCGCGCACGAGAACAATGCAAAATGACCCTGTCCGCATGTCGTCCATTCCATGACAATCACGTCTCAAACGCCGTTCCCCCCCCCTTCCCCCGCAGCTCAACCTCAAATCAATAACATCACCACCTCGACCGAAACCCCCCAGCTTCCGATCCGATGGTATGCCGTTCCGCGGGGGGCAAATCGACAGCCATCACCGCCATACACCCACCCCGTCTTGCACCACCCGGAGCTTCGGGTCGTGCCACCCTCAGAAATCGTCCGGAAATCGACATGCTCCTGCACGCAGAGAGCCGTGAATGACACCCTTTGATATTCAATCCCTCACCTCCACCCATCCGGTGACGTGTAGGCCGGGAAACATGGACACCAAACCGCAAGTGCAGACGCCGTGTCTCGTCGTGAACAATGCCATGCGCTTTTGTCGTCGGCAACTTTCGGACCAGTGGAGCAGCCATCTCATTTTATTCCCAGATGCGGGCGCGGCGGTGGGCTGAAAGCAGTTGCCCAGTGGCTTGCCCTCGTGAGCGACACCCGTCTCACCTTTTTTTTTTGTCTCTTCTTGTTTAAAGCAGCCTGTCCCGCATTTGCAGATCGCAAGACATTTGTCCTGCGGGGTTTTTTTTGAACTCTTGATTCCGGCCACCCTGGCCTGCCCTTTGGTCAACGCCGTTTTTCTGTCGAGCGGATCCGATGCCGCTGTTATGCTGACTAAGTTGCTCCATGGATTATTGCACCATTGACTCTTTCTGTAGTTACATACGGAGTACAAATGGAGCATCTGTAATGAAGCTACTCTACTCCGTACAAGGGGGTTCAGCTCCCAGAATTGTAGATTCCGCAACGCGAGGCATTGGAAACAAGGTCCAGATGCGGTTACCAAGACCCCTCCTCTGGGCTTTTCTGGGTGTAGATGAAGTGATGGTTTTCTAATCCCCTATTTTGTCACCGCAAAAGGGGGGAGGGGCATCTCTGATATTTGGAGAAAAGACGTCCATCCCACGGACTCGAGCGTCGTATCCCGTGGCCCTGGGAGCATCGCTGCGTGGCCGCTTGCCCTGTCGTCCCGGCCTCGACTGCGCTGCGACCTCCGGTTCGCAGTGTGTCCATGGATCTTCATCGCCGGCCATGCAGCTCCCGCCCAGACAGCTCCCCACTCCGGATCCGATCCTGCGCCTCACGGAATGCGCAACCACGAGTGGTGAAGAACGTGACGAACCTCTAGCTCGTACTCATCACCATACGGCAGCCAGGCGTTGATAGCCCTCGCCTTGGCAGCCAGAATGTAAAGGTCCATGAATGCCATGAAATCGCGAAAACAACACCGCACACAAAGAGCAAATCGAAAAACCAGCCCCTAGAACATTGTGAAAGCTCAGGTAAAAAACCAACCAATAAACCAGCCTCTGAAAATAATCCACCGCTGCCTTCTCCGGACTTTTCCCCAGACCCCGTTCTGCCCGTGTCCCCAGACGCCTCCCGCCAAGCTCCAGGGTAAACATGTCCCCTAGACCAGCTCGGTCCCCGACGCGAACCCGTCGGCCCTCCGACCCTCCGAGGGAGATAGCCGCCCACCGAGGCTACCTCCGAGTTCCAGACACGGAAAGCCATGATTATTCCCTTTGTTCCTGCCACGAAACTCCCCTATCCCATTCCATTTCCTTCCTCGCGCCGTCTGGCAACATCTTTTCCAAAGAGAAGGTGTGATTTGCTCTGCAACTGCTCGTGTTCGCCTCGAGGTCGCGTACCGCTGTGAACCAGGCCCCCGGGTATGCGGGCGCGCAAGGCTTGAAGAAAACACCACAGGACAAGCGTTTCCTACCACAAACCTGATACTCGTATCCCACTCTGCCCCCCCTCCCCCGGGCTCACCTATGGATTCTGGGAAAACCTGGAAAAGTATGGAGGAGCGGAGCCGTCCCGGCTGACCGACGGCTGGCCGATGAGATTGCCCGCCTCCCCGCATCGGTTTGGCCACGGGGTTATCGGCATCCACACTCGAATCAACTTTGTCAGATCGGCCACTTGCCGGGCGTGCATTACAAACTTCATCACCACTGTGGCAACTTGCCTTTTTCCTATCAATGTTGTTACTATCAAAGTGTGGGGTATCCTGATACCACTTCTCTGCGGCATGTCGACACAGCAACAAACTTGAAAACACACACACATACACACATACAGCAGAAGCAAATGCAACATGTTCTCGACAGTTGATTCAACATGTCGTCGCCTCAAGGGTAGGCACAACGCTATGTAAAGACTATGGCTAACGAATGTCTAGTATGTGCAAGCATGGAAACATGCATTGCCAGATATATATTAGTCGCCCAGTTGTCTTCGCTCAGGCTGGTTTTCCAAAGACAAAGCAAAACAGGAAAAAACAAACGCCACCTTGGAGACTCATATCCATTATTGAAAACCCGCTTCCCGGCTCTGGAACTCATTTGCCGAGCTCTCCGCCCTTTCCCTCACATTGCCAGACTCATATTATCGACATGTCATGGCTCTCGTCACGGCTCCATATTTTGCCTTCTCTTACGCCCGTCCCTTTCCCTCACAGGCGACCTCGAGCTTCGCTGAAGCAGGAAGGGTTGTAGATGCGCTGCTTGATGTACGCGGTCAAGGCAACATCACCCCACTCCTCCCACTCATGCCAGTAGGCTTCGGGAAGTTCTGAGACACCGTCTCGTCGCGCAGCCTTCATGACCTCGCGGGCAACAATGACGCTGGCCTCGCGGACACGCTCGATCCTGGGATAAATCAAGCCCTTGTGGATTTCCTCAGAGTTCAGTGAGCCGGCCAGGGCGTCAGCCGAGGTGTACACCATGTTGTCCGTGATGCGCGAGGCCTTGGCAAGGATGGCACCGAGACCCAATCCGGGAAAGACATAGACATTGTTGCCCTGGTTGGGGTGGTATGTCACTTCCCCAATTTCACCGCCAACCTTGACGGTGAACGACTGGAATGGGGATCCGGAGGCGAAAATGACAGAACCATCGGTCCACTGTACGGCTTGCTCAAACGTGCATTCTGCCTTTGTGAGGGGATTGCTCAGAGGGAACAGGATAGGACGTCGGCCAAGGCCACCGGCGTCAACCGACGCCTTCAAGGCTCGGACCACGGACTCGGTGAAAATGCCAAAGGTAGCAGCGAGACCAATCAAGGCACTGGGCTTGACATATTCAATGACCTCTTCCAGAGTACGGAATTGGTGGCCATTGTTGTCAATGCGAGCAAAGTATTTCTTGTGCTCTGCTAGGTTATCACCTCGGTCCTTGGTGACTAGGCCCTTGGTATCGACAAGGAAAAACTTGTCGCGGGCTTCGGCCTCTGAGAATCCTCTACGAGTGTAGTACTCAACAAGCTGCTTGGCCACACCCACGCCAGCAGAGCCAGCGCCCATGAAGACTAGACGCTGCTCCTCAATGGGGACGCCAGACAAGTTGCAAGCACCGATGTATCTAGTGATATGTCAGTCTAGGTGCTTCCGGGAGCTGTGAGGAAAGACATCATGTTCGAGTGAACGTACCCGCCGAGAACCACGGCACCGGTCCCCTGGATATCGTCATTGAAAGCTCGGTGTGTGTTTCTGTAACGGTCCAGGTAGTTGAATGCCTTTTCACTCTCAAAGTCTTCAAACTGGACTACCATGTTGGGGTACACTTCCTTCACAGCTTCCATGAACTCATCCATGAATTGTTGCTGGACCTCGAACGAGGGGCGCTTCTGTCTGAGACCCAGGTACAGGGGGTCCTTCAAGTTGGTTTCGTTGTTGGTACCGCAGTCCAAGACAATGGGCAAAGTCTTGGCAGGGTGAATGCCTGCGGCAGCCGTGTACAAGGCTAGCTTGCCAATCTTTCGAGAGTTTTGGTCAGTATACTCGGGCCATTATGTACGTGTGAAATGCTATTCTTTTTCTGCTTACGGAAATCCCCACACCATTCATACCCAGGTCTCCAAGGCCCAAGATACGAGACCCATCAGTGACGACGCAAATCTCAGGATCAGTGCAGGGCCAATTCCTCAGCATGGTTCGAATAGATTTGCGCTGCTTGATTGAAATATACAGGGCCTCGGGGCGAGTGTAGATGCTCGAGTACTGCAGGCAGACGTCGCCTATGGTAGGTGTGTAGACCAACGGCATGAGTTCGCGGACATTGTCCATCAAAAGGCGGTAGAACAAGTCAATGTTCTGGTCCTTCAGATTTGAAAGGTACAGATACTTGTCGATGCTTGTCTGGCGAGTCTGGATCATCTTCATCGCTCTGGCGCACTGAGTCTGCAGGGACTCCATGGCATGTGGCAGGAGACCGGTGAGGTTTTGGGTAGCACGCTCCTCGGGGGTAAATGAAAGACCTGCAAGGCGAACGGGCGGCATTGTTAGTATGATGACATTGGAGGAATTGTCCACCGACTATTTCACGATGCGAAGAGCGACCATCCGAATTGCGCGCATATATTGAAAACCGAGTATCTACTGGATTTACCGCCCGGGCTAGGGTGGGTGATGAAGGAACGCGAGAGATACAACATACCCTTATTCCAGAGAGGCTCACGGATGATTTGATATCCGGCAGCCTGCGACTTGGCCAAGTATTCCGTGTTCCGTTCTTGCTGGACTTCGCCATATGTGTCCTTGACATAGCCACGGTGCTGGTCAAGAGTTGCCATCTTCATTGCTTCTTCAATAGCAGAGACGTCGACAGTTGACATGGGATTGAAGAGGGTGAGTCTGCGACCAGAAATGGACATTCGCTTATTAGATACAGATGTACGAGAAGAGCGGCCAGAGCCAATCGACGATGAGGGAGAGGAGGAGCGAGGCGTAGAGACGTCTGAGCTTTCAGAGCCTTGAGGCGACGGCACTGGCATGGCTGTGAGAGGAGAAGAAATCGCAGGTGTGGGAGAGGGTGTCGAGGGAGCAGAAGACAATAATGCAGCAGCGGGAGCTGATGAAGAAAAATATACGGAAGAAGCAGGGCAACGCTGGCGGAGGGCGGCGGAAGCAGCTGAGGATCTTGCCGTCAAAATGGATGGGTCCTGCACTCCTGCAGCAGCGAGGGACGGGCGATTTAATAAAAGCCTGGGGGATGACAGTCCGCCGCCGACAGGAGGCCAAGGGGATGCGACCAAGGTCGAGAGACGGTGCCGATGCATGTGAGGCAACTAGGGGACGATGGGAGCGGCCAGGAGTGACAAGGGCAGAAGAGTTGCAAGTGCAGACTGGGAAGGGACGGGAGCGGGATCGACCGGGGCTTGTCGGAGGACTAGACTGACAAGTATGAGTGCGCCTAGGGGGCGGGTTTCAAGACTCGAAGAGAGGCTCGAAAATCCAAACCAAAGACGCTTGACAGAGTGCAAGAGTAAAAAACGGTCTCGAGGACGTGTTTTGCGGACGGGTGGGCTCGAGGTGGATTGGAGTCCACGAAACTCTCGGGTACGAAGTACCAGGTACCTGATGCTTTGTACCTTGGAGTTTGGGACTTGTTGACCAAGTGGTGCGTTGCTGGTGTGGAGCCGGCCAACAAAGTGAGGTAGGTGTAAGCGGGCAGAGAGAAGAAATGGCGGGAGGCAGGGAGACGAGTAATAATAGGTATTGAAATAGGTAAAAATAAAAATGGAATGTGCCCAGCCTAGCGTTAAAGCCGCGGCATTGACAATTGTGATGGGGGAGGCAGAGATGCAAGTAGATAATTGGACCACGGAGGGCGGCGGCGTGTTGCGCCGGAGAACGACGAGCCACGGCGACGGGGAAGGGTAATGAGCGGGAAGGATGACTGATGGGCGAGAGTTGGGGGCTCCAGATAATTAAAGCGCGCCCGAGAAGGCAGAGGAATGACAGCTCGAGTTGTCAAGACAGTCAGCAGCACGCTCGTCCTCACGTAGAAGCAGCCGGAGGAGCAATCGGAGCAGTTTGACAGACTGGTCGGCCGGCCTGGGAATCCGAGGTCTAATGATGACTAGTCGCGAGGGTTCCGAGGTCGTTGGCTCCTCGGAAGCGGTTTCTCCCTAGTGGCGGCGCGCAAGGACAAAAAGAACCCCACGAAAAGCATAAATCGAAAGTATGCTGCTGCTTTGTTTGTGCTGCGTCCAGAGCCTGCCAAATACTTGTACTGCCTGCTGCTGCTTCTTCACGTGTACGGAGAATAGTATTGGAAATAGTCAAGAATGAGGTTTGGCGACGGCCCCAAAGGACAACCAGACGGCGCCACGTCGGCGCCAATCTGAATCCCAATTTTTTTTTAGTTGAATTATTAGTCGATACGATGCCCTCAAATTGCCCCAACCCACGGCACGGCGGGATTAATTTGGGTCTTGTGCCTGGCAAAGGAAGCACAGGCTGTTCATGAATAGGTGACTGACTTGAGCTAGTCTTGGTGCCGTTGTCGCTGCCAACAGAAATTGTTGGGGCCCTCCCACGATGACTTTGGCCTTTTGTAACTGCCTTGTGTCTTTTCGCCTGTGATATAAGCCATGAATGACAACAGAAGTACTCTGGACCGGACAAATGGCCTGTTGCTATTACTCTTCCGAGCGTCAGGCTTTGACTGCGAGACGTCTCGAAGCAAGCCTGGGCGCGGGCTATAGTCAGGTTGATGATGATTTGCTGGACTTGACCGTTTATTGGAAGAATGGCAGGCTGATTCGGAGGCCGTTGCCGGAGGATGGCACCCCGATGCGACGAAAGTCGACCTGCCCACTACCATGTTAGGTACTTTGGGGCCTTGCGTCGTCAGCCTCGCCGGAACCTCTCCCAGCGCGTTGCTTCCTTGTCCAGTTTCTGTACTGCAGAGTACTTAAACGTATCCTCCTGTTCCAAACACATTGGCTCACTGCCCCTGGCAATGGCCGCTACTGCACCCTGACCTGGGGTGCTGCTCCCGCCCGCCCCCACTGGGAATCGTCCCTGCAAGTTGGAACCTGCAGTTATTCGAGCTGCCAGCTTGGTTCCATGTTTGCCGAGTCTCTCGCGTGGCCCGCCCTGTCATACGGACAGCGCCCGGACAAGAGCCGGACAACTGTTTCCGCTTGTTTGCATGGCTCTCCAGGATTTGTCGTCGCGTGATGCCTCGCCATGTCCGATCTCGTCCCCTTCACCGGCGCTGAGCTGTTCCAAACGTGTTGGTTCAACAACAGTGACTGTGCCGTCCCCCGTCGCCGCTTGGTAGGATCTGTCCTGGTTGGATTTCAGCGGGATGCTTCCACTAGCTTCAGGTCTCGACTCACGACAAGGCTTGCGTGCCAGGCTCCACCGCCGAAGCCTCCCCCAGACCCTCCAGGGTCCGTCGGGCGCCGGGCTCGCTCGCCAGCTCGCAGCATGGGTCTGGCATGGAGGTCCTGATGAGCGTGCAATGTGGGAGAAGATGGATCTCTTCCAGCTTCATTCGGAGCTCCGAAAATTTTTCCACCAGTTTCTCAAGCTCATACGATTCATTGGGCTGTGGAAACGTGGTGCAAGTGGAGCAGCAACGAGGAAGGAGCGTTCAGGCAACTTCATTCCATCTTTAAATGAGACTGGGGTTAATACGGACAAGTATGTACATACGTATTGTACTGTGTGTATTGCAATACTTGAACAGAAGGAAGCTGCGGGTTGTGCTCCTGCCCTACACAATCCATTGTACTTGCTGTACATGTACATGTTCCGTGTACTCTGTGCTCGTCCGTTGGGGTGGAGGCGCACGCAATCATGTCCAAACATTTTGCATGCAGCCACCTTGGGCCGTTCGGAGCTCATCCCATCATTTCCGTCCTCATGTCCTTGTCCATGCTCTTTTTGCTGATGGAACCCAAGCTGGAAATGATTTCTTTAGTGGGGTATTTCTTGGTCCGTACAAACGCCCCATCGTGTCTCATTGCTTGCGTACGAGAGTGGCCGGGCAATGAAATGCACATCACATTCGAGGTGAGACTCGATGCCCGGCAGTTGTTGACTCACAAGCTAACCATGACCGCCACTCGGTAAACACCCGCAAACAGGTATCTGATGTATTGGCGTTCAACAACAGGGCGCCAATTTCGTCGAGGCCCGGCGCGTAGACGTCCCACAAACTCCTAGGCAAAAAGTCTGCCCGCTGGCCATATCACTTGCAACCCAAAAGCCTAAAATCCACGGCACTTTGGCTCAACTCCAACGTCTCGAAATCTCCAAAATGGAACCCCTGTCGTGCTCGAAGCTCCACTGCAACCCAAGACATTACCGGGACACTACGGGATCGGGTGCCACAGCCAAGACCTGCCAGCCAACCTCGCCTGCCTCTCTAGTGGCGCGCTCTTGACGCCAACTGTTGGATTCATCGGCGCTTTGGACAGTCTCACTGTCGCGTGGGGTCCCGTTCACAAAATCTTGGGTATCCGGTGGACAAAACTCGCATTCTATGTGTGTTCGTGGCCGAATTACTGCTGCGCAAATGGCTTCGGCTTCGACCGGAGCTGATCGAGCTTCCTTGAACTTTACCATGCTGTGGAGATGTCTTTCTCCTGAACGATTCGTTGCTCATCTTCCGATTTCCCCCGACGGCTTGACAAGGGTCTCTGTGTACATCCCATCTCTGCATCTGCCACCATAGGGTCTCAACCCCAGCCAGTTAGTCTTTTTCGCAGAGGTCACCGCCGCCATCCGCCCAGTACCCAAGTGTCTGTCTCTGTCTGTGTTGCAGGTTCTGTCGCAGTGTGCCGGCCTCCGAGATATGTCTCACTCTGCTTTCGTCCTTACGGATTGAGCCTGGCAAATCGGCCGCGTAGCATTGTCTCTGATGTGTTTGATTGATGGTTGAGTTTGGGGCGAAGAAGTGCATAAACGTGAATCGTCTGAAGGATGATGATGGCTTGCCATGGCCCGCATCAGCCACCGAGAAAGGCGTTGGCAAACCCCAAAGCCATCTCGCCTGATGCCGTTGATACGTTTCAACCGCGTCTCATCCCAAAGAACAACATCGCAGTCATCACTAGAGTTTCTACATGGTTCCCTTTGCGCACGATCCTTATAGGTTCGGTTTGATGGTCACAATTCTCGGTTTCGAGCGGAGAATCTAGCAGCAAGAGAACTTGTTGCACCTTAAGAACCAAAGCCCAGCCTTTGAAGGAGAGCCTTGACTTACCACAACCACGTGTATCAACAAGATAGCTCTCTTTTGCTCGCATGGATGTTGGAAGCTTGGGGAGCTCGGCACTCGCAACGTGAGCTGTCGGCTGAGGACTGGTCCAATTACAGTTACACTGAATGACATTTTGGGACATACAACTGGGCAACCTCTTCACATGCTTGTCCCACCCACGACATTATTCACCGTTTAAGATGCGCGCCAGCGACTTTGGCCTGCTCACATGCATGCCATGGCTGGCATCCGGCAAGCATAGTCCGTCGTCTTTGAACTTTGGAGTAGAGGCTATAACCGAGTCTAGCACCGAATCGGCTTCCTCTGCGCCATGTGATTGTCGTTCGACATTGGCATGACGCTGATCCGTTGGTTGAGAATGGGGCAGATTGATTGTCGCGTTCGATATCTACGAAAAAAGCATCCGGGACGATCTTGATTGCACGTGTTGATTAGCCCACCGAATTTGTCCCTGTGCTGAGGAGGCGTTCGTTCGGCTCTTCTATGGCGGCTGTTGAGACTATTGTCGTCTACAGCAAAAGGCGATCTAGGCACTTGACCCCTTCTCGTAACACGGCAAAATCATTATTTGCGTCAAGAGCGGCTTTGCATGCGGATAGAAGCCCCCGGCTTTGTATTCCAATGACTAGTGTGTCTCTAGACCAATAGCCCAAATCGCAAGTTCTTGCCATGGCCATCCGTCAAACATTACAAGAATGCCGCTGCCGCCGCCACCACCAATATCCTGTTAGGAAGACTTGATTGGTATTGGCG